TCACTCTCTAAGGTCATGCAAGAAGGGCGTGCACCACGGACAGAATGGGATATTTTATGCAAGCCGGGATGCGAAAAAACCTAGTCTGGCACTTCCAGCTTTGAAGCCAGTCCGTCGTTGTTCACTCACTCCTCCAACATTCAGAGGTTGTCTTGCGGCGCGGTCGATTCTGTTTCGGATTTCATAGCCCTCTATGACTTTTGAAGGTCATGCTGAGCATCGCCGAGTGCCTCTTTTTGTCTGGGTATCCCCGACGTGGTTCTTTAATAGACTTTTCAGCCCCCTTGGCAAACCATGTAGAAGCACTACGGCGTTACATCCCGGTTTTCGGCTTCCCCCTTGAAGATGTGAGAGAGGCATGTTTCGATTTTCATGAGAGTTAGTGTCCACCCTAAGAGCGACGAAAAACGCTATTCAGTGTCCAAAATAGGGAGCAAGCGCACTTTTTCACTGCAAATGGGTGAGTGTCGTCATGTTCTTCAGATTTTCTCACACAAAGTTTTGGCGGCTGTCGACAGCCAAGGCAAGAATTATCCGTAACCTATGTGACCCTCCAGTATTGGATAAGATTGAAGAATGTTCGAGCAGGCGGTACGTTTTTCTGGGTGCCGGAATGTTGGTCTGTATAACGAAGCTGGCGATAAACACTTCGGCAATCTCCAGTCCGGAGGGTCTCTCCCCATCTGGGCTCTTTGTGATGCAAGCCTCCTGGTCAGCAGACTTCCTTTTCTCCCTGAATCGAAAAGGGTCTTTGGGGTTTGCCCCAAGCTTCGAGACAGGGTTAGCCCTAAACAACCTGCTTACCCTCGCCCTGGTATCGCACCGATTCCCCAGAACTACAAATGCACCATGATCTAAATCTTTTACGTAGAGCCTCTGTTTGCATCATGTTTCCGCCTCGGTTTTCAATAGGTACTCGATGCCCCATTTAGCCATAAACCCACTTCTTGGGCATCATCGCCACTACTGGCACATTTTCAGAGTTCACTCTTTATGCCCCTTACTATTTCTCATTTATGGCTGATCGAAAAGAAGAGCCACTCCTGGGGCCATGTGGCTACTGATTGACACTGTCGATTGCCGCATAGCTCATTTTCCTGCTGCAAGGACAAAAACAAGACCCGCCCCACGTTGGCAGTTCAATGACTGCTGGATCAAACACCACCACATCATGGTCGCTGCCCCCGAGAAGAGTTTGAACCTGAAGGTTTTCTATCGGCAGATGGTCGTCAATAGAAATACAGCAGTTTTAACGGCTCCACGCCCTACCATCGGTGGGTTTCATGGCCGATTTTTCACACTACCTAGCCCTTTGACGGTACTTAACAAGTTTTAGTTGAACCTCCAGGTCGAACCTGTACTGTCCCTCCTTGGGTTATGGTTTGGAACACTAAATTCCCTCGTCATTATGTCCTGGTTATGCTTCGCAGTCGTCAATGCATGTGTTGCTTGAAGTAGTGGCTGAATCTGAACGACGGTGATGTTAGGAGGTCGTCGGACTCTCTGCAATCGACGCTGTGTCCGACTATGAGGTGGCACCAAACAGTTTGGAAGGTCTACCGGCATAGTATCAGTATCTCGTCCACTTTTGCACTATTCACCCGCAAACATCGCCACTCCTCGTTTCCCGTCTTTCCTGAACAGCAACGTGCCGCCTATATTCTCCTCATTGACAATAATATCCGACGATAACCAAGTTCCTGTCAGTGCGGCAGTTTTAGGGCAGAGTGGGAACACAGGGGTCATAGCTCCACCATAGGAGCCAACAGACCGCCACCGCTGATATCCCTCTCACCTCTATCCTCCTTGATGACCACTACTATCGCTGAACTCAGGGAGCATAATTTTCTCTTTGTATATTGTCTGTTACTCCCGGCATGCCGTGGATGACTACGGGTTCTGGTTTTTGTGGATGGAGAGCTCCTAGAAATGTTCTCCATACCTACCACCGCTGGTCTTCTCTAACCCCCATACTTGGTGACTAGCGCCTGCGAAAGCAAGAAGGGTTTTTCTTCTACCTAAGCTGGGAGATACGGTGGTAGACAGATATCTGCCTTCCACGAGGGAGCACATAAATGCTTGAATTACGCAGGCGAAACTCCACTTCTTCTCAAGATGGAGAAGTGTAGGGTAACGATGTTGAACAAGTGTAAGCGTGGTTCTAGTTCTCAACTCTCTAGGCAAACAAACGTTACCTGCTCAGATGTCAAGAAAGATCTAGAGGTCACCAGCGGTGACAAGCTTGGAGCACTAGCTCATCACCACTTCGCAGAGGATTAGGTACACGGAGTCCCCTCAAACTACCTCCGAATCTATCCACAGCAGTCTGTGAACTACACATCCGTCCACAACTTGAGGGGAACTCACTGTTCACACCCCAGCATTTCAAGAAAGACACTCCTAGCTTGATATGGGCCCAGAAAAGGGATATGAAAAAGTAACGAGACTAGGGCACAAATCTCACCTGAATTACAAGGTTGGTCTCAAGACGCAACTGGCACAACACAGGAGTATCAACAGGAGTTTGATCACGATGCATTGCATCCGTCACAATCCTCTTCACTCCCTTTAAGCACTTGACAGGGAACCCAATCTTAGTGACCATCCTTTGAGAGCAGAGCACTAGAGATCATGCACAAAGATTCGTGCTAACTTGCTTGCAGTTACCATGAGTAATCCATGGAACCCACTTCCTCGTGTTGTGGCATCCTTTTGTCCTTATACCTCCAAATGGAGACTAAGCATCGATTTTCTGTCGTGTGGTAGGGGTCAGCTTTCCGGTATCTCCCGGCACAGGGTACCAGCACCGGCTGAAGAGGCTGAATAACGGCAGTAGGGGGGACAAGCCCTGTTGGTTCAAGTTTCTTCGACGTTAGGAAAGAGCTATGATCATTTCAAGCGAAGAAAGATTTCTCATAACATAGACGCATAACCAAGGCATCAGCTATTCTCCATTTCCAAGAGACGAAGCTTCAAGTTTTTGAGGTTACGCAATCGCCAGGTGTCACTCAGATGGCAGGTATCCGTTGTTGCCGGTAAATTAAACCATGATGATCGCGATAATGCTTTCCTTGTGGCCTGGCAGCCCTGGCACCTAGGTGCAGTTCTAGCTTTTACAATAAGGAAGCTGGATTTTGTGCAGCTGACCGTCTATTTCAGACGGGTGCGGCTGTCAGCGGAACGTCTAGACAGCTGCCGCCTGTAGTTGCTGGGCGGAACGACAACTTACGGCATGTTTCGATGCATGAACACCATTTGTTTCGCTGATAGCAACTACTCGGCTTGACGTTTGCTTCCCGTCAAGACTTACAAAGTTTTGGAAGAGCCTCTTGGGAGAACTTGAGGAGAGCGAAGCGTTTCATAGTTGAACGACCGTACGATGCTCCTACAGACTAACATGTCTTCCACTGAGCAAGATCACGTTTTTCACTATTAGCCAATAAGGGTTTGCTTCTCTTAGAATGAAAAGACGTGAGTGATCTAAGGTTATGGTGGCATTCCACCTATTTGGATCTAACCTTCCTCGTAAATGTATATAAAGTTTACCTTCCAGCATATTTTTAGGGCTGAAATTCACTGACTCCCAAATCTCCTTCTGATTGACTGACAGGCGGGTTGGTTTCATGCGGGATTGGGAAGAGGAGGTAGTGAGCCTTCGTTTCCCTTCGTAGCGCTATTCATTGCTATGATATGCTTACGTTTACCCTTCTTGCTTCCGCTGCGGGGCTTTCCTAGTTGGACGGATACTCCAAAGCCATGCTTATTGGGCAGAAGTCTGCAGCGGTGATTCTATGGGGATTTGATCTTTCTATATAAAAGTAACAGCATTTTATTACTAGGTTTACCAGAGCATGCCGTTTTTGCAGGTATGGTTATCAACAATTATGCATAAGCTACTGTACAAAAAATACTTCATTTTAATTGGTCCCCAGGTGGTAAAAATCCCAAGGTACAATCGAACCAACGATATAAGAAGTATATTTAATGCATGCTAAGGTGAAGACTAGTCATCACAAATGTTTATGATTTATACGAAGGTGGAGTCGCATGATTCACACCAAAAGAAGGTGTAAGCGTCACCATTCTGCCAGTGACCGCTGATGCGGTTACTATGTGTGCAACGGTATTAGTTCCAAACGCTTTCCAACGTCAGTCGGATAACACGAGCGGATGTCACCTGTGCTTAATCTGAATGTTGCGGGCCTTATCCTAACCAACACGCACCAATCGGGTACATGATAACGAAAGGTAAATCAAAAGACGGACACTGCGGGATTCGAAAAGTTGTTCGCCGTCCAACTCATATTAACAAAAGTAGTTTCAGTACCAGCGTGATATTGGTATCTTTAGTATTCGCCAGGAAATTTGGATAGGGTTACATGGGGTATACAACAACTGTAGGTCGGTAGAAGTGTCAAATCATAACCAGCAAGCAAATAAAAGGGGTGAAATTGAGTACTTCGTGTCGTTGGGAGACAACTTGCACTTATTTCAGCGGTTGGAACAATCATTTTCATGGTAAGAATGTATATACAGTTGATAGGGTTCTTTTTGTGCCTTCTTTTACGCCAAGACCCTTGGTACTACTGACTTGAGCATTGGTAGTTTGGGGCTGTGACCCTTAGCAATACAGTCTTTAGGAATTGCCTTGCGGCAACACTATTCTTTCTCGCTGAAGTGCGTTAATGTAGGCCCCAAATTCTAAAGGATCAGAGTTACATCTCCCTAGTTCTTGGTCTCTCTGGCACTTGTTTTGGGTCCTGCGACATGAGCACAGTTAAACATCACCACGAAAAGAGCTCATCGACGGAAGGCCATAATGCTGAGAAGACTGGTCAATCACATATAAGCAGTGATTCTGTTGCAACCAATATTCCCAACCCATGATCCAGAGAGAGCCGCTGATATCCCTGAAGCAACAGAGTTTCAAAACTGTAATTCAATAATTGAAATTTAGATATGATGAAGATTGTATATTTGAAATTGCTGGGAAATCACATGGTGATCAAGTGACGGGATTTGTTTTAAGTGGTGAAGGTGGCGGTTTCCATCTTATCTCCATTGATGCCATCAGTAGGGACTCCTGATATGGTTGATGAGTCCAAGGGACAGCATCCAGTTGAAAATGCAAATGGTGTAGACGGAAATAAACTAGACATACACCCTCCTCTTCACTGCGATGAAAAACCGACTAATGGTGCTGGCGATTCTATGGTCGACGACAATGATGACGACAGCAGGTAAGATTACAACTAGTTTTTACTGTTCGTAGAAAACTTTTTGTCGGTGGTCTTAGCTGGGAAACTAGTGAAAGTAAATTACTGTAGGATTTAGTCATTCTCTGATAGACGATCTGAAGGAATATTTTTCCCGTTGGGGAAAAGTTACACAATGCATCATCAAGTTGGATAGGTTCACTGGGAATTCAAGAGGGTTCGGCTTTGTTACACTGGAAAGTGAAGACTGTGTATCAAAAGTATGATTTGTTACTTATGTGACTGTGCAGGTTCTTAGTGTTCCTGAGCATTGGCTAAAAAATAAGAAGATTGACCCTAAAAAGGCGAAACCTTCAAGAGAGCCGTTGAAGAAGGTTTTTGTCGGCGGTATTGATCCTGAAGTGACAGAAGACCAAATCCGGGAGTATTTCAGTACTTTCGGGAAGGTTAGTTAGCATTATTTACCTGAGGCTTCGGACAGGTCGAGTCGTTAGACCTACCATATGATACTCAAAAAGGGAAGCGGAAGCACTACATATTTGTTAGTTTCTCTACAGAGGCGGCAGCTAGAAAAGCGATATCGAAAGAGCGTCAGGAAATCTTTGGACGTCAAGTAAGTTGGTTACTGATTACATGATGCTTCGAAACGTCTTGTCTTCAAATCCTAATGTAATGTTTCATTTCAGTGTGATGTTAGAGTTGCTGTTACACGAGATCAGGCGAATAGGCAAAAAGGTTTGAGATAATATGCAGTTTATTTTGCTTTAGTAGCCTTAAAACAGTGGTACAATTGGTTCGACCCCAGCTATGCGTATTCTGGATATGCTTATGGAGACTTTGCGAATGCTTATCCTGGTTTTGATCCTTTCACCTACAACTACTATGGATACGATTATTATGGGACTGCCGCAGCAGCAGCAGCTGCATCAGGGTACGGTAAGTAATCTCCAGAATGTTACGTACTGTTTGCTTTTATTGACTTAGCCTATCCTTCATCGGCGTGTTTAGTTATGTAGATTTGTAATTTGGCCCAGCGCAATCCTTGTATGGGTTGACACTTCCACTTTGTTTACTTGTGCATCCTTTTAGTATGGCTGATATTAGTTACTTCGCTAATTACAAATAACCATTAGCCTTGGAGCACTAATTTCAGGGGCTCGGTAATTCACCACCGGGAAGGTGATATCTGCTTACCAGTTGGCTCAAGAATGGGCTGGAGTAGCACAGGTCTACTAAGAAAGAATTAAAGTGGACTTAGTCTTTCAATGGTAAAACTGAGAAAATGTACATCCATCTGAAGGTCGTTTGTCTACATAAGTTGTCAAGACTGTTTTCTGTCTTCATGTCTTTGTAATAGTTTTCCAGGTCGGCTCTTCACGCAATGGATAAGATAGATTTTGTGTTTATAGTGCAGGATTTTGTAAAACGTCTTAAGAAGTGGTAAGTTGAAGGCAATTGCATATTACATCTTTTGTGGATGGTTCGAACCATGAAAGGGATTGAGTCATGTCTGGTTTGCACTAGATGAGACTTGCCTGCCTGAGTTTACTTGAAAGTTGGCTTGTCAACGAGTCAGAAACGTCTTAAAAGAGTTTTTTGGCAGCAAGGATTAACTATCTCCACCTCATAACATCATTTGGACGTGGGAAATGCAGCCAACAAATAAGTTTCATGGAAACTGCGGTGATTGTAGTAGCTATCACATTACAAGATGTGCTATATGGAATTTCCAGATGATGAGAAATTCCAAGATTGTTCAGTCACATTCGCTGGAAGATTTTCGCGATGAATAACAGATAGAGTATGGAACATCCAATAGTTATCAATTTACGTCCCAACGCTGCAAATACTAAGTAACGGACGCTAGTGGTTTATAACACATGACCAGTAGTTGAGGCATTCTGTAGTGTTCACTGTCTGAGGAAGCGTTGATATAAGTTCTGAAAGTTACTCTCCGTATAGCACCAGTCTTCGACTAGTGAACTGAGCTCATGTCCCAATCATTAAGCAAACGAAAGGTAACAGTTAGGTGTAGAGGTGAAACTCTAAGAGAAATTCTGGTTGTTAGACAATGTGTTTGACGCACTTCCGATGCGCACTAGCGTTGGGAGTTGTTTACCGCCTGGTTGTGTGGTTCCTAGACAGTGGATTTTACAGTTTAGCGCCAAGCAATGTGTATTTCTCTCAGCTCTTCTAGTGTGACTCGTGTACTTAGCTGGATTTGCGGACGGACAAAATCAACCCGAAACCTCGCACACAAATGCGTCGGTTCACACTGCCACACTTCACAGTAATATACAAAGAATAGGTGGATAGAAAAAGTGATATTAAGATGAAGTTTTGTGTAAGAATAAATAATTTCAAGACAAATGTTAGGGCAAATCTGCAAGCGATAGTAGGTGTCGTGGGGTGAATGCGCCTGTGCCTCCGAGTGGACGATTTTCAGTCACGTCAAGAAGACTCCTGAACATTGATTTTTGACGTCTTGGAGACCCCAGCCAAGTAGCCGACATCCTACACGCCCGAGACCAACAGTCAGGACTTAACCGACAGGTGCCACGTCTTGGTTTAGCTACCATGAACTCTCTTTCAACCTAATCAAACTTTCCCAAGCATGGCACGTTGAAATAGACGGTGACTCGGCATGTGCAGCACATGTCCAAGCCATCTCAGTCAACTAAGGTTAGCAACCTTATCAATTGACTTGGCTGTCTTGCCTGGCACCTTTCGTTTAACCTCGACAGTCACGTAGTGATTTCACCAAACTCGAGCAGTGCTGCGAAGAAACATGTCATCAAAAACCTGTAACCTAGTGAACTCGCCAAGAACGCTTTCAAGAGGTACAAGTACAGGCACAGTAGGTCCTAGTAAATTGTGAATTAAAAGGTACTGTGTTCCTAACTATCTCCGGTCAGGTAGCCTACATCTTACGCGGCCGGATCAGAAGTCAAGGACTTCATCGACATGTGCCACGCCTCGGTCTGGCTACCATGACGCCTCTTCCAACTGCGTTCTAGATGACCTTTTTTCGACACGACTAAAGCTTGACATAAGACTAAATACATGGAATTACCGATTAACTTATTGACCATTTCCTCGGTCATGTTATAATATATAGCAATTATTTCCCACTATCAGATTGTGGATTCAGTACTATGGGAGCAATCTTCGCCGACACAGCTTCAAAGCTGTAGAGTGGAGTACTTCAGTGCAGAAAAGTCGAGACTTAAACGGCGAATTTCTTCGCTGGTATTTTTTTATTATTATGAATGTAGGTGTTGTTGCCTAACTGCTGGTTGAACACCTTTACTGATTGACAAGTTTTGGGTGACTATATGGGGAATTGTAGTGATAGTTCCTAACTCACCACATGTAACTTCACTAGGTAGCCATTTAACCAGCAATAACCCGGCATACTGTTACATCGAAGTGTAGTTTTAGTTGACCGACAGGAAAGCCAAAGCACTGAACCGTTATGGTTGTTGGAACTTTTCCTAAAATGAGATTAGTTGACGGAGCGACATGCAGCACGAAGTAAGAGCAGACTAGTTTCCAATGTTGTCGAGGGAACGAGATAGGTTTTAGACCTAAAAAGGGACCCATCTAGTTGACAAAGTGTCCGGGTGGGATATCCGATGTCATCGTCCCTGTTTAATTTTGTTACTGATGTAACAATGAGGATAACCTAAGGTAAGTCTGACTTCACAGGGATCGACTTAGTCCCTGGAGGGTGTGGAATTGTCTTGGAGTGCCCAGATGGCATTGTCCTGTTTGGCAAAGACGGCTACAAAATGAAGGGTCTTCTGAATGGATTCAGAGCTGGTCTACAGCGACTCCAGTTTAATAGTTGGGAATAAAGTGGTAGAATCCGTTAACCACTGCACTTACTCGGAGAGTTGCACCTGTCCGAACGCGCTAGTTGCTGACGAAATCTCATTTTGAATACAGAAGTCCCACTTGGCATTTACCAACTTGCGTCATCTCTACTGCCGGCGAGGTATCCGACTACCTACTAATTTTATGGCATGTCATCTGCCGAGGCTCGTATAATATCAATGTAACTGTGATGTTTTATTCACTGTGCGGAGGGACGATGTGGATTCTTACGATGCTATCCAGGTGCTCAGATTGATGTAGGTGTAGCGGGATTTTAACCCAGGATCCATTGCTCACGTCCATCATTCACACTTTGATTTTAGATGAGTATACTATCATGCTCGTAACTTGATGTTCGCGGTATCCTGGTGCCTGCAGCACTCATTTGTGTTCTAGCTGAATGCTTGAGGTGCATTTGTGGTTGAAGAATTTCACGAACTGAAAATGCCGCATTGTAGTTGAAATCTTATTTCAAAGCTGACTGTATGTGTTTGGATGTTCTTTATTGGATCGTGTGCATATTTTACGTCTGAGGCACGCGTAAAGTGGCTGGGTAGGTGGAGCTAAATTGTTTGATGCTGATCATCACTCCCACTGATCTGGTTTAGTCATCAAGTAATTTCTGCTGAGTCATTTTACTTTACCTTCGCTAAATGTGTATTCTAGGCTTGTTGTTCGAGCACCAGTCAAGATATTCTAAAGATGTGATGCCGTGCACCAGTAGTTACGGCATAATTTTCCAGTCACGAGGAGCATAACTGAAACAAAACAGTAATTCGATTTGGAGGCTTGTGTATTGATTTCTGTTTGTATTTGCGAAATATCAGTTGGAGAATCTAAAGCACTGCATATCTGTTCCTTCCTAATGTGTTCTTTAACCGTGCACACCCATGGCCCAGCCATTAGTCGAACTCATGACCTTCACCGTCCACGGTCAGCCCGTTATCACTGAAACTGGGTCAGGGTTGAATGATCTTCATTTTCTTACTTCTATCAGTTTGCGGTATAGCGCCACCTTCATTTCTGTGGTTGAGAAACTGTCTTTACGTCTAACTTGGTTTGCCACACCATTCATGATTCACAGAACTTCGAAAATTTCATGTGATAAAAACCAACTTAAAATCAATAAATGAATCTCCATAAACCTCCAAATTGAATTGCTGTCTAGGCTTATAAGTAACTTATTGCCTTGTTGCAAGATGAGGTTCTCAGAGTGTAGTGAGAAGTCATGAACGGTCGGGCAAGTCAGGTGGGACTTGATAACGACAGAACTGAATGGAGGTCACACTATCACGAACTGACAGAAGTAAGAAAATATAGACCATTCAACTCAGAGATACAAAGGTGACGTGCCGGCCGGAGACGCTGAAGTTCCTGGATTCGATCCATAGTAGGGCCGTAGGCGCGCCCTGCTGAGGAGTCCCCCACTAGGAAGAAACAAGTGTCCAGTACTCCCTGGTTCTCCAATTGATATCAGTTTGTGATGAATACCAGCTTGAAAAAGAAAAGGTTAATAGTGTCTCCGCAAAGTTTCTAAAGATATTGATACCCGAGACATTAAACTCCTATTTCTTTCTTGACTCTCGTCTGTAATCGTCCAAAGTTGCTTCTTGATTTTCGACAAACAGTTCAGGTATTTGTGTGTAAGGTTTTCAAATCTGTTCTATGATTAGGGTTCCAGGCGTTAAGTATTTTTTAAAAATAGTCAGATCTTAGATTTTTTGTTATGGCTAAATCCAAGGAAAACTTCTGGAGTCATAGTCTACACAACAAAGCGCTTGGAAGCATCTTGCTTCGATCTGATAGGCATCCTAAGGTTGTCTTGAAATAATTTTTATAACTCAGAAATCTTGCCAACGCTCTTCTACGATTAGTAAAAATATATTCGATACTTCATCGCGTTCTTTTACTGGATTTTATCACCAGGTGCATATACCAATCTAGCAGCTAATCAGTTTCGTGGAGTGATAAATGCCAATAAAGTGAGTCAAAATATCCGCCCACCCAGCGCTGCAACTCCTGGAAGTAATACTCGTTTAATCAGTAGTGGTACGACACCTGGAACAATGGTTACAAACCCCCATCAAAACCAATCCCACACACATTTGAACTATGCCAACTTGCTTACTTCCCAACTAGATCCCCATCATACAACTTTGTCCGCTGGTTTGGATTTCCCAGTACCACATCCTCAACCTGGTCAAGCGATGGTAGCCGGAACGCCGCGGCTGGTTTTCCACATCCACAGTGAACTCCGTTTATCTGGCATGATTTTTGAAAGCCAACCAACTGTAAAACTGGTTTATTCAAGTTAGTTTGAGAGAATCCTCTCGTTACCTGAAACTCAATGATTTTTTCAAACCATATAACACTGGGCTTCTGTGAATACATTCATATTTTGTGAGGGTTGAAGTACATGTGAGTTGTATCATCCCAGCACCCTACATTGTGCCTGGTTTACTAAGTAAGTGTGACTTATTTTGTTGCTCAATATGACTTCTGGTGCGTTTATTCCCCTTCATTTTTTGGCTTCCAGGACTGTTCAATTAATCTGTATCTAGCGGTCAGCTTCAGCACAGCGTTTCTTTCCTTATTCAAGTAATTTTTGAAACTTACGGATATATATATATATATATATATATATATATATATATATATATATATATAAACCCTTCTTGTGTACAGAAAAAACATTTAATGAAAACGTTATCATTACTTTTGTTTTCGATTGCAGTACGCAGTTGTTACCTTTCTTCCCTGTATTTTTAATTCCTGTACAGGTTCCTTCTCTGTATTTTATGAAGTCTAGTGACGTATTTCAGCTAATTTCTTACTTCATTCAGCTAACAGTTGTCAATTGTGGTTTCTGCATATATCATCTGTATATTTCTTTTATGGATTGTGTAGGTAACACATCTCGGTCAGAGTTTCCCTGTTATAAAACATTTTGCGAATGAAAGTGTTTGCTAATAACTTGTTATTAACATGTTTTTATGACTATTTTCGCTTAAATTCCCGGTTTCACTAAGACTTTCTTCAGTGACCCTGTAACTCCTGATGTCGTCTAAATTGAGGAGTACATTGCCCTGTGCGAATAGTGCTTATGACGATACATGGTTTTTATATTATTTCCCTGATGCTATTTGACTACAAACTGGTCACTTGTTGTACACACCTATTGAGCTTATTTTGAGAAGTTCGTAATACCTTCTTGTAGTTGGCGTTTTTTTCTTGAGTACTTTATCCGTGTGCATGGGGTTTTTGGGTTTCTTCCCACAACCATCAGGTTGACGCTTATCAACTGCTGGGTCGGTCTGGTTCATACTTGCGTTTCATCTAGAACACATCGACAACATCAATGGTGAAAAACCATAGGAAGATCAGGCCGATTGGCTTCGGTATTCACCTGTCAAGCAACGATTTCTGGGCTCAGATTTCGTCCCACTTATTTCAGTCTAAACACTTGGGCAGTATCATGCACCCTGACTCGAAAAGTATGGCTCATAGCCTAACATAAAAGCATATGCTAGCTTAACTCGCTGTTTATATAGACATTTCACTTTCGTTAAGTCATGTAGTTGTCTCATCACTTGTTACTGTTCCTGAAAGCGCATGGATGTACCTTATGAATTCTAAGGGCGTAACGCAAAGCACTTCTGCTTATTGTTGATCCATATTAATAATTCAGCGTTCACTGTACATAACTTGAGTGTAAGAGATGAGTTAGTACGACAGTTTTGAAATATTCTAGGAAACGGCTATCAAACAACATAAGTGTGGTTGTGGGTTTTTCCTTACCAATGGAGACTAATTTTTGGTGAACTCTACAAAACTTGAAGAACCTCCAACAACAAAATTGGTACCATTTGGTCGATATGAGCATACATCGTTTTTGTGCTAGTGTATCAATCATATGCGATCTATGCTCAAGCACTCAGAAAAAATAGGGTGTCGTCAGTTGGGTGAGACGTAAAGACGGCGCAACTCGGTCCATAACAATAATTTACGGTAGATTGATTAGTCACTGGAAAGTAACCAGTTTCATGCTGTATAGTTACGAGTGCTGTCCGAATTCTATCTACCATTCTGTAATGTGGTCACCAAATGAATAACTCAGTGGTCTCCCGACTACAGCGCTAGGTGACGCAGGTTAAAAAATCCAAGGGAAAGTCAGTTGTCTTGACGTTACAGATACGCCTTGCTGGTGAAGACCAACAAGCTCGAAACCTAGACCTACCAGGGCTTCCTACCCATTCCTGTCAACCAGTTAACAGTTATTAAATGCTCTGTACACTAATAACTTTGCGACCTCCTCCAGCTTCCCGTAGCACTTGTTATAGACTCCAAATGTTTATTCTTTGAAAACTAAGAGGTAGTGACCAGCCATCTTGTGTCGTACATCGCGTTCAAATCATCATTGGTGGGGGCTCAAACTATGAGGCTACCCTAAGTCTTTCAATACCAACCATTCTAATCATTACTTCGCAGCTGTTTGTATACAGATATGTTCAAATATCCATTTTTCAAGACGTGACCGTGGATCATTGGCTCGGGTCCAGTGATCCCAACTGATTTCAATTGCCATGACATGGGCAGTCAAGTATTATCACAATCGGTGTGACTCATTGCTTAGTACATGGATATGCACGTGGTTGCTGAATTGGATTTTGAAATTTTTTGCTACAGAGCCATCGTGAGTATCATTTTGATTTAAGTTTGCTGGTTGCTAATCGTGCAACGAATTCTGTTCAATGCAGGGACTCACCAATGATGCTGTTCTTAGAGCTGAAGGCACTATAATGCTTCTGATGATAGTCCTTGTATAATGCGAAGTGAAAAAATATAACTTGCCAACCAACGCAGGTTTGTTTATTAGGCAGTGGACCGCATCTACTGTGTGAGAGGAGTGATGATCCTACGTGGTTGAACAACCCTAAGATATAAAGTGGAGTTCAAATCTGTAACTGGAGTTCAAGGTCAATCGCCCAGACATGTGAATTACAGGTCTACTTGGGATGGGATCTATCTGTTGCATCCCACTACCGAATAATTAACATGTCACATTCCAGGGCTGACGTGATGCAATTCACTGTACACGCATAAGTGAGGTTATCCTCTTTTTTACTTATTTAACTTTAAAGAACATAGTCATTTATTCCTCATCCGTGTTGTGGACAGCGTGAAATTACCTGAAAGCTTACCTTTCTCAACTACTGATAGGTTTGCATTCATAAAATGACGCAAAAACCAAACGTTAAGACAATTTATCAAGATAAATAAAAGGTGATTCCGAAATCCAGGTTCATAAATTTTATAGGCCGTTCCCCTCAAAATGCATGGTCAAATTGAAAATGCTGGTTAAAGGGTCATTGGCCTAGCATTTTGGGGCATCTACAAACGAGTGTGTATCTTAGCAGTCTTATTTATTCTCATCTGCACAACATGCTTCCCAAGTAGAGAGAATCCATATACTCTTAATGATGCAGTTCAAATTTCAGATACCCATGCTTTCACTTTTGTGAAGAAACAAGAACAATGAACACAGGATTCGATATGAGCATTTCGAGATCTTAGTCTAAGATGTGCCACACTACCGTTCATCGGGTATGGGCCCTATTGTTATTTCCAATTCTGTTTATAGAGTTATTGAAGTAAAACAAATAGGGATATGTCATGTTTGGTAGGTTTTTTTTATCTCTGAAGCTAACCAAGCAACAGTTCACACTTTGCCTAAAGGTATGTTGTCCGAGTATTCATGACCACTTGTACATCTGTTTGTGGGTATCTGAATCAGCTTGTATAGAGGTGAATGTCACTGTAACTCATATTTAATTTAAAACCACATTTGGTTTCATTGGTAAGATTATTGAGGGTGGTAAACTGTGATTAAATTCGAATTACTTTTGTTATTCATGTGAAGGAAGGGATGCACCCAGAATACAACGACAGCTTGTAACACATGGGTCGTGGGTTTCAACTTGTAAATCAGAAGCGTTTCTCTTTCTAGATTTGAAAGATTGAGATTTACTATCCTAAAATTAAGTCACACTTTTATGAGATAATTTTGATTGACTTACAAGACCAGCTGAGAGAAATTTCGGTGTCTATTCGTTTGTTCCTTAAGGTTTCAAGGAACCCGTGGAATACATTTTAAATACGAATACTACCATCTGCAGGAAGATTCGTCTTTGCTCATGTAGACATTTGTCGACTGTTTTGTATGTCTGAGAATAGTTCTAATTCATAGATACAAACTGAACAAAATGGTTTTATCAACAGTACTCGAAAGTGAATTTCTCCCAGACTAACATTGGATACTTGATATAGCACCAATCCTTTTTAGGATAGAAGAGGGATACGGATGGTCGGTATAGACACAAAATTCGTTGTAAGGTGGATCTAATCACCGAAAACAATCGTGATACTATACAATAGCTAAGTTACAGACAGATCAAAGCCATAGGTTAATGTGCAGTGCCGCAGTAATTTCGTGGAGCTGTGGCTCATTGGTTTAGGGAGGATGACCAACCAATGGGTCACGAGTTCGGACACCGCTCTACCTACCCGGGTTTTGGCAACCACGCCAGGTGTGATTCATTCCCTACTGCACAAATGTTCCTAAGGTTGCTGAAAGCAGTTTGGTTTTCTGGAGTACATTCGTTCATGTTACCCTCTCCAGGATAGCAACCTGGGAGAAAGATGGGATAGTATCGAAGTAATCGTTTCATGATTTGGTCTTAATGCACATATGCTACATCACCTACACACCTTCAACATGCTATTTGTAATGTCTCAAAGAATCGGACCGAGCATCCTGTTCTTAAGATCACAAACTAGACGCATAGATTTCATCCAGCCTACGGTAATAAAAATTATAGTGAATTGTTTCTTCAAATTAGCAGTTGACTTTACACGGACTAAATAAATGGTTCGTGTTTGTAGTAAAATTACGTAGTTCCACTAGCTGGACAGTATTCGAGGACAGGAGGATACTGTATAGCTATTGTGTTCTTGCTTTATTTAGAAAACAAAGTCACTGGTGCTAATTTTATTATAATTTGTCCCTTGGGTTCCTAGTGGAACATACCGCTTTAGTAGCACGTCTCCATTCCACTTTGTTCTCTACAGTCTTTCGAACCTGGCTCCACCACTGCCCATAGGCTTTCATTTCTTCCTCATATGATCTCCTCCATGTCACCGTCGGACGCTCAACTCGTCGTTTCCCCTTTGGATTCCACTCAAGGGCCTGGCCTGGCGTGTGATGTCCCCAAATGGTCTTCTCAGTGTATACCCAATAATCCATTTCCGTTTTCTTCTGCATATTTGTTGGGCAATAGGTTGTTGGTTGGTTCGTTACCAGCCAGCCAGAGTTCCTTGTTGCTTATTCTGGCCATCTGATCTTCAGCATCGAGCGTGGGCAGCAGCCGTTGATGAGATATGTCTGCAGTTTGTTGGAATGCTTTTCTTAACGCGCCAAGTCTCTCAACCATCACATAGAAGCACTGACGTGACTGACATTGGTGTTGAAAATCCGGATCTTGTTCAGGCTTTATGCTGAGTGGATTGCAGTAGATCCCCACACCGATTTCAAGTTAATGAAGGCCTCTCTTACCATTTGTTCCACCCTGGCTTTGACATCCTCGCCTGTGTCGCCACCTGTAGTTGAAACGATGCTGACCTGCGTAGGTAGGTGAAGGAGACTACTTCCTTTACGTTTCTCCCTTTGATGGTGATTGGTGCTTGTTGTTGTTGTTGTTGGTTGGGTATCTTCATCACCTCTGTCTTCTATACGTTCACCTGAAGAAAGTCCCGTGTTAATTACACTTGTCTATTTTTCACCTCAGATTTCGTTTTTATGTTGTAATGGTATAGTGACTTTTCTCAGTTTTCTAAGTACTTTTGCCACTTTTTCACTGACATCCAATCTTCATCCTCTACTTCCTGTTAATGATCCTACTTAATTGTGCACACCAATTACTTTGTTTCAGATTTATTATTCCTTCGTTGAAGTGTACAAATGATACAGTAGTTATTTCCAGTGTAGGATATATATTTCTTTTTAATTGTTATTGTGTATTCATTCATTCTTCGATTTGTCATTGGTTTGTTTTATAAGAAAAAAGATGTTGAAGAAAGCAAGGATTGAAATGAATAGTAGTTTCAGGAGAAGAGCACACTTTTATCTATTTGAGATGGAGAAACATGTATGTGTTTGTGAGT